AAATCTTTATCAAGCAGGGATCTCAAAATACCCGCAGAACGGACTCTGCTTGGACATATCAGTTGGATACGTGAGCTTATGGATATAGGTATAGTACATAACGTGCAATGGTGTGATACTAGGGATATGACCGCAGATGGGCATACAAAGGGAAGCATCGATCGGGAGCTGCTTCTGGAAGTGATGTCAGGCACTCAGTCATTTAAGTATGACGTGAAGCAATTTGTTCCTTTTCGGGGTCCCGAGGACAGAGACAAACCCAAGTCTAATCAATTTTAGTCTGTCCTTGTTGCCCTCGCGGTCCAGTTTGCCAGCACGGGCGCCTATTATAAAGGCGCCCCTTTAGTTGCTCGGAAACGAGCCTCATATTTCACGCCTGGCAACGAGCCGGCTTCATACAACTCAGGCTCTTTGCCTTAATACACATTTGCTTGGTGAGGTATGGCCTAATTTTGGCCTACCTCTAACTAGGCCGATAGCCCTTCATTATTTGAAGGGGCTGTCCTGTATTTGCGTGAAATACTTTGCGAGGAAACTCGCCTTACATTCTGGCGTTTGGCCAGTTTGTACGCACTGTTTTCATTTCTTTGCAAACAGTCGTGCGCGCGAATTTTGCGTGCGACTATGCTCTCCGTCTCCTCCCCTCCCGACTTTAAGGGTAGCTCTTTGGGAGATGTTACAGTATCGGGAGCATAGCTCGCGCGCCGCTGCCTTGGGCTCAAGGCACGCGCGCCCTATTTGCCCGGACACCGCGAGTGTTCGCTATGTGCTGGAAAGATCATTACATCGATCTTATCCTATCTTATCCGCCCACCCCTCATACTGTACCTTCACAGCTACAGCAGAGCGATGGACGCTATTTGCCATCCGATGTCCACGGTCAGCGCCTTGGAATCGGATGCTATATGACAGGCTATATGCCCTATTTGAGTTACCAAGCTCACTTTCGACTGTGGGGCTGCTCCAGTCACGGGCGCTGAGCCCCGGCGGGACGCAGACCGCAGACAACAGCAAGGACGACGCGCAGGATCTACCGATCGATATCAAGAAGCTCAACTGTACAATTCATCACGGGCATGAACATCCTGGCGACGTGTATCTCTTTTCCTCTGATTGCGATGACGAGTGCCCAGAACCAAGCACGAAACGCTGCGCGCAGATTGTACCGGCCGGCGATGTCATCACTTGCTGTGTTCAACAGGATAGCGATTGGAGGGTTGCCCCAGGATACCGATGCGCCTGGAGTGCGTTCAACAGGTGCACGAGAGGATATTGTTGTGGCGCTGGCCAGTCACGGCTCAGTAGTGATCCGGACCGATGTAATCCGTGCTAGATCATTTGTCCTCCTCTCTGCCCGCTCGGTTTAACGTCCTGCCCGTTCGTACGGCAACTTGCACGCTTGCTTTCGAGTTGTGCCCGCCGGGCCTGTCCGCCCGACGCGACCCTTAGCGAAGCGAGATGGGCATCGTGAGATGGAGGAGACGATATTGAGGAAGAGGAGGAGGAGGTGGAGGAGATCAGGCGAGCCGCGTTACTCGGCAGGAGTCGTTGTGGCATTTGTTGGCTGAGGCTGCGGTTGGGTCTCGCAGAGATCCGTCCCCTCCCATAATGCCTCCGCTCCAGCAGCCTGGTGCGCATTTTGCACTCCGCCGGCTGAAACTGCCGCTCCTGGGAAAGAGGGAGGCGTCGCGCGCCACAGGGCTGCGGTTGTGTGGCGCGCGGTGCTGGCTGCCTGCTCGCCCGACTGCTCTCAGTTTTTGTTTGTTTTTTGTTGTTTCTCTCTCTCTCTCTCTCTCTCTCTCTCTCTCTCTCTCTATATATATATATGATATGTGCTGTTTTGTTGTTGTTCTCTCTCTCTCTCTCTCTTTCTGTCATTATTTCTCGCGGCACACCTCTCTGGTTTACCCTTGTCTATCTGGCCGCTTCTCTTGCACGTTCCATCGATCCGTTGGTTACTGCAGCACGTCGGCGCGAAATAGGCGCTCTCGGGAGGGGATGAACCAGCGCTTTGCCGGACATGCAAAAAAAAGGGGCCCACGGCTCGAGGCAGCGTCCACGGCTTGGTGGGCCTTGCCAGAGCAGTTCCATGGTGCGGCTGGTCACGCGCCGAGGCCGAAGCAGGCAGCAACAGTCTCGGCCTCCCAGATGGGGTCGGAGCAGATGGGGTCGTAGGATCGCGCTTCATCGCCGATGCGGCTCGATGCGGAGCCCGATTTCCCCCACGCGGACGGCGCCGATGCGCCGCCGACGTCGCCAACGCATCGCCGATGCGTCGGCGATGTATCGCCGATGTATCGGCGATGCGGCGCGATCCTGTGACCCCGTCTACTCCGACTCCATCTAGGAGGCCCCTAAAGAGGCGGAAGGTGCAGCACCTGGCGTGGTCGGCGTCGCTGATTTCTCCAAGCCCCTCTCAGAACATGCTGGGCAGGAAGGCCGTTGGGATGTGCGTCTTCTAGTCGACCAGCGGGGCTTCCGAAGTTCATTGGGATTTTTTGGAAGGGCCAGAAGGGCCAGAAGAGTTCAAGGGTCGGGGTGAGAACAAATTCAAAGGTCCAGCACGCCAAGCACACCTCCGGAAGGCTGCTTGGTGGCAGTCCGGAAACGCCTGTGCAGGGAAAGGTCGAACGAAGGTGCGGCCGTGCATGTGGATTGCGTGTTTACCCAGCCGTTTGGACACTACTGGGGGCACACCGAGGAGGGTGTTTCTGCGGCCGTCTTGGGCTTGTCGCGGGCTCTTTTCGAGCCGCTCGGACCGTCTTGGGACCATTTTGGAGGCCTCTTGGGGCGTCTTGGATTATCGGAAGCCCGAAACACGAGAACGCTAGCATCATACCATCATACGTAGTGGGAATCACGTGGTGAGTTTGGCATCTTGGGGGCATCCTGAAGGTCCTCTTGTATAACTTCGGGGGTGTCTTTGGGGCCTCCTCGGGCAGTGTTCGAGGCATCTTGAGGCCGTGTTGAGACCGCCTTCGGCCGTGTTGGAGGCATCTTCGGGCCGTCCTGGGGATTTTTGAGGCGTCCTGGAGTTTTCTCAGTAGCCATCTTGTGCCACCTTGGCCACGTTGATGTCGGGTTGCCTGATCTGTAGGGTGCTGTTGTGAATTCCAGGAGAGGAGGGTGTGACGGTGAGAAGAAGAAGAAGAAGGGATGGGAGGCTGGGAGGGGAGGTTTTTGAGAAGCGTACGGATAATGACCTTAATAATGATCATCGTACCTATATGTACATTACTAAAAAGAACCATGTGT